CAAAGTGTATCAGTGTATCAACCTCGATGGTGCAAACCCCCAGAACCAAACGGACTTCACCCACTAATACTCAAGTCTCTATCGTATGTCATCTCACCAGCCGTGAAAAACCTATTCAATAAATCAGTCTCTAAAGGATCTGTCCCCAACGACTGGAAATATTCGATAGTGAGCACTTCCCATGGGTGGTAATCCAAGTAAAGTGGAGAACTATAGACCGATCTGTTTGACTTTGATATTATCCAAAGTTCTCGAGCACGTTGTGAAAAAGTCGTTCTTCGAATCGATGGACATATTGACGCCAGCGCAACACGGTCTTACGAAAGGGCGATCATGCATCACCAACTTAATGTAAGCAAACCACCAGTGGGTTCGAGCTCTCAACGAACGGAAGGATGTTGACGTAGTGCACATCAACTTTAGTAAGACGTTTGACAGAGTGAACCACGAGGTACTCCTTCGTAAACTAGGGACGTACTGAACCAGTGGCACGCTACTTCAGTGGTTACACGAGTTTATTGTGAGACGAAAGTTTAGAGTACAGGTCAAGGACTACCTGACCGACTGGTTTCTACCGACCAGTGGCGTGCCTCAGGGAACTGTACTTGGGCCAGAATTACTTCTTAATAATATCAACGATCTCCCGCAGCAGATCCAGTCGCCATGTGCCCTGTTTGCAGATAATTTGAAAATCTGGAGGATCATTGAGAACCAGGACGACTGAGCTCGCCTCCAGCATGACTTAGAGCGACTGTCAACGTGGTCCACTGAAATACAACGCCTTCTTAACGCAAATAAGTCGGAGTACATCAGTATCGCCAGACGTCCAGCCACTCGATCATACATCTTGGACAGCCAGTTGCTCCACCCTAACCCATCTGTCAGAGTTAGGCGTGGTCTCACGACATGATATAAGATCACTAGAAAATGCAGAGAAAGTGTATCGTGCAGGACTTCGTATGCTTTGGACGTTACGACGCAGTTTCTCCACATGGTGCGAAGAAACCGTCCTTCGCCTATTCACCTTGCTCATTAGACTAATCCTTGAATACGGTGCCCCAGCTTAACATCAGATAACCCAGTGGGAAACTGAAAAGCTGGAGAGAATACAGCATATCGCAACTAGAATGATACCCAGCCCACGGAAGCTTCTGTATGAAAAAGATCGTGAAAGGCTCGGACTCTACCCACTATTCTACCGCCGAGTAAGAATTGACCTTATTATGACCTGTCAAATGCCACATTTGAATCACTTCCCCATACTGCGGCCAATATTTAACCTTCGGGAACCCTGTAACACTCGAGGACACGGTTACAAACTAAGGGTACCCTGCACATCAGCTTTGTATATAACGAAGAATCGTAAAATTATGGAATACACTCTCAGAAGGACTAATAGAGGCCGATTCTGTGAAGTGTTTTAAATCACGTATCGATGAGTATTTCGGAAACCTGTGCTTTTGTGAAACGGTGAACATACAATGCAAAAAAATACATTATATACCCGGAAATGATGACACAAATACGAATACCGAAAAATTATAAACGATTAACTGATCACACACTAGCGCTGACGATTCGCAACAGAATGTTTTTGATTGTTCATAATTCAATAGAGTTATACCAAAATCTTTCTACTTGCTCTTAAATACAGTCCCAGTCTCCCTATATTCACATGGGAAAAATCCCTCGATAAGTTATTCCAAGAGGAGTCCAAAACATCTAAACACTAATGTTTCAAAAACTCGCCATTCACCTCAACCATCCACCAGAATGTAATTACATGAACCGCATGCCTCAATATTCCACCTATGCATATCGCCCATGCAAGGTCAGGGATACTTTTGTACAAATCCATGTGTGCCGCTACAAACACAGTTTCTCGCATCAGGAGAAATCTGTCTTACTATCTTAGTTGAAACGCACATCATTTTTACTCTTACTACAACAAGCATTTTTGAAGTCGGCTATCATGTAAGCGATTTAATTAGAAAGTGAACGAACAAACAGCACTAGCTAAACTCCGCAGTAAGTTCAAATATACGTGAAGCCCATCACGAAGATGCTGGAGGTATAAGGGAAAGGATTAACATGCTCATGCCGCGTTGGCGGTAGAGAAATACTTGATCTCCAGGGCTCGATACGAGGTTAGTACACTCAAATATGATGCCAAGTTTTGCAGATATCTGCAGTGGAAATCATTACCTTTTTCCATCCATATAAACCAAATGCAAAAAAGCCCTCAAGTACTTGTCAAGGTCTGATAACCAAAGTGGCTCTCTGAGTACACGCGAAACCTGAGAGCTAAATGACGAGCATGCAGCTAGAATACTTTACCCGTGTCAAAAGCCTAACCGTAGTAATTAAATCCAAGATAATAAAAGTGAGTAAGCCAATTATGTCGAAGCAGTTCTAGGCAACCATAACTGTCGCGATCTATGGAGGCTTCTGAGGCAGCTCTGTGGTAAGAGCGTTTGCAGCCAGAGCGGTGAAGTGGAGGTGGATAAACTGAATTCGGAGTTAAGTTCCGCCTCACTAAGCTCATCTTCCTTGCCCTCCTTCATTAGTTCAAGTCCAGCCGAGCTCTTCAATCAAAGCAACGTTCACAAGGAACTCAAAAGATTAAAGGCAAATAAGACTTATGGTCCGGAGGCTCTCGCACCAGTAGCTTGAATGAGTGTGCTAAATCTCTCACACTCCCTCTAATAGATCTCTTTAACAAATGCCTCACTACGGGTGTGATCCCGGACATTTGGAGAACGGCCAGTATCACTCAAGTACCAAAAATGTATCTCAAAAGTATCGCCCAATTGCATATACATCCAAAAAGTTTTCGGAAGACTGTTAATTCCGCGGATTTTTTCAACGCTCCTGAAGACGATATCTACCGGTTTGCGTATAGACCCCAACGCTCCACATTGGATGCAGTGGCATATCTGGTCCATTCTATATATAGCTTCTGCATTAAATCAAAAATGTAAATTCGCACGGCTACTCTTCCTGGATTATTCGAATGCCTTTGGAAGTCTGGATAGGTCAAGGTTGCTAGACATGCTATCCGAAAATTGAGTTCAACCTGGTGTGTGCAATCGGTTACGTGACTAGTTTACAGATCGTACTCACTTCACCAAGTTGAACAGTAAAAAAATCCTCTGTCCTCCGTGCCGACTGTGGTGCTCTACAGGGAGCGATTCTATATTCCTTGTGTGTTGCATCTCCATATACAAACCACGTTTACAGAGTGTAAATATGCTGATGATGTTGTTCTGGGATTTATGTCTCCCATTAACCAGGATTCCTCATCACTTAAACGTGGGTTGGAAGATCTGGTGGAATGGTCTTTATCCAGATCTGGTACGCTTAATGCTTCTAAATGTGGGGATGCAATATTTTCTTTTCTCCGCGACGATAAGTTGCAGTGCCCCATAGATTTCTCCCTCACACTTACTGTGAATGAAAATCCCATATCCAGCTATTTCACCGTCAAGTATCTTGGCGTCATTTTGTCCCAGAACCTTTCTTGGTCCACGCATGTCTGTAAAACTTTCCAAAAAGTGTGAAAACCTTCTTTTTATGCCCTCAGACTTAAGGTGCTTTCAATACCTCATACTTTAATATTCATGTTTGAGACCACTTGGTTATACTAATCTCCTGTTATTTTCTTTGGACAGCTTCAGAAAGACTACATCTCACTGGTGCGATCTATAAAGCACATTTCTAGATGCAGCGGCTTGTCTAGAGATTCTTTAACTGATTCGATCATTTCTAGACATCTTGATGTCTTCAAAGATTTTTCTTCTAAGGTACTAACTGATTGATTTCATTCATTTCACAACAATCTTTCCAAAACGCTCTCCTCCTCTACTCGTTCGAAATTCAGAATTTTATTCTCCCGCACGTCATCGTATCGTAATACTGTTTTGTCTCACGTTTGCTAGTTTACACAGTAAGTCACTAAGATGCTGCGCGAGAGGTTGTTGGAGTAACAGTTCTGCCTATTTCCCCTTTTCTCCCCAAGCCTGTATATTGATATTAGTATCCAGGTGTCCGCAATGGCGGTGTAAATGCCGAAAAAAACGCATTAGGGCTCATAAAGCTTATTTTGACTTGACTTGACTTGATCCTCATGGCTTCGTTTAGTGATATGTCTAGGTCGCACCCATGCTGTTCGCGATAAGGCCATCTGCTAGGATGACTGCTATCACGAATAACGGGACATGTTTCCATTAGCCGCAACCATAGTGGTTCAATGGCCTGTGATTTGTGAGTGCGGTTCCAGGTTGAAGCTGCACTTGAAAATGCGCCGCTAGCACATCACAGAGGTGATAATATGCAGAGGACGACCGCAGTTCTATGAGCCTACCGATATGTTTACCGGCGGGCGTAGAAGTTGATATCGAGTGACTCCGAGTGATGTACATGCCAGTTGAACAAGCGGATCGATAAACCCGGTATGCGTTCACGCTGGACGGAAATGGAAGGTGCAACCATGAGTTAAGTTAGGACGGATTTAGAATATGCTTTCAAAGAGTCTGCATACACGAATTGTGAGATGTATTGCGTGGGTGCACACATTGTGCCAGATCACCGGGCCACTCAAGGATGGCCTCGAAAGTGAGCAATGACTGTTGAAAATAGGCACCATGGTGTCGTGTCACGCGCCTGAATAGAAGCTGTTGTGCAGTGATGCATCTGGGGATAAACCCCAGACCATGGGCAAGCGCATGACACAGGAGAAGCAAACAGTCTAGAGCAACCTGCATGCCAGAGAAGAAGCGGGTCATTGGATTTCAGTTAAGTTGGATCGACACTTAGTGACAAATCCAACAACAATTGACTTTCAATGCCAACGATAACGTTATCCAGCAAAAAGCCGCAGATTGTGGATAGGTGTCGATGTGTTATCAAGTGACCAGCGATAATTTGCGAAACCGTCGATATGTAAAAGAAAATAAACTCAATTGGACGGAAGATGCTACAAGGAGAGCGGTTTAACGCACCGAATCCCAAGTTGAACATTTTGTCTGCCTCATCGAATACCAAATAGGTGACACGGCGCAAATTGGTGGACTTCTTCTTCACCAAGTCAATCAAGCGGCCCTAGGATGCGAATGAAGAGAAAGATTTGCTTAATTTGGTTCTATTGGACATAAATTTGGTGGGGCATGCATACAAAATATATTGCAGAAAATGACAAGGTAGCTAAAAACGGCAATATGACACATATTTCAACTCATTTGAACAAATGTGACCCAAGCAACGACGTGTGATGAGTCAAATTGCCACGATTTATGTCAATAGGATGACAATGATTAATGGTTAAAGAGAAACTATATGGAAGCCGACTTAAAATGCAGGGAAAAGTGGGTCTGGAAAAAGATGGGTAAAGTTCATCAGGCTGAGGAAGCAACCGATTAAGAAACCCTTAGACCGAGTGCGCGAGCACCACTACCTCCGAGATGCCATGTCGGATGTGGATTATTCCGAAGTCTTCGGGAAAATTTTCCACGGATCTCCGTAAGCGCCCTCGTGTTGACAAGTACCAACTGGCGAATAGGAGCAAACCGACTCAGTGATGACACCAACACATGGTGATGCCGGTGGCTAAAACATGATATCTTCACTGCTTTGTGACGGCGTACCCGAAACATACAGTAGCAGTGGCCGTATCGCGGCTTTATGCATCCTGATTATAACTGATATGCGAATATCCCGCATGCTCTACAGATGAGTGGATTTTACGTATGAGGCTTAGCAAAGAACGATGTGTTACTATGATACGGTTACCAAGATAAGCAAAGGAAGGTTAGAGTGGTCGTTTAGTGACATCGAGAAGTGAAGTTGTGTAAATCCTCTTCTGTAACAGCGGCTCGCAGTGCTATAACCCTACTCAGAAGTACCTATACAGAGGCTTCGGAGAACTATATTATCTGTGTGTTCTGTTTTTCACACAGTAGACTTCTTACCCGGTAAGCCGTACCGACGCTTAGCTGCCACGTAACCTACGCGCGTAGGCGAAGAACATCGCGAAGGTTGCCCAGTCCCCTACGCAGGCTGGAACCTGTTACCTCCGGATTACAAGGCAAGCTTGTGATCCTTTCAGTCACAGGTAGGAAGTGGGACATACCTGATATACTTCCGTCACCGTGAAGAGTTCAGAAGCGAACTTCTCGTAACACGTACATGATCTCCAGAATCCCGGTAAGGAGGGTATGGGACAGGAAAGAATTTCTGAAACAGAACTATTAATGATAGACAGCGCCACAAAAATGTGCGATGAACTGGGATTGAAGCTGGAACTCAAATGAAGGAAACGCCCCATGGTATGCCATATGTATGTATAGATTTGTTCAGGCACTTGTCAGAGTACGAAGATGCGTGTAACATGTCTTCCACCATACAGGAAGTAGGTCCGAATTTCATGAGCACATTTTCCGAGGAACAATGAGATATCAAGTATGATGCATGCGAGCATCGAGTTTCGATGTTCAAAAAACCGAGCAGCACTTAAACACCAGAAAATGGAATGACAGCCATGATTTACGGAATGGTTCGCACGCAGCCAGTTTGGAGATTCACTGGGAAATCTGAAGCATTGCAGCTTGTTCCAGCAGTCGTGGGCCTCAACTACAACAACAAGGAGGCCTGTGCTATTGATGGTAGAGTACAATGAACTCGATCAATAGACTTTCTTTGGGCTTTTCCTGCAAGACTCTAAGCTAACTAGTACACATGTGGCTGCGTACACAAGCCGATTGGCTAGGAAGTTATTGGATATAAGTCAGACAGGTGAGTATAGTTTTTCAAGATTTCAATCAACGAGATAGGAATGTGCCGGTAACAAATACAATGTACAACAATGCAGTGTGGGCGATGCAGCTGTGGGGAACTCGCATTTAACAACTGCGCAGCGAAAACATTAACATTAACTAATCGTCTTACAACTGGTGCCCAAATAATATCGTTTGTGCCTGGTAAGACCACCTCAGTTAGTAACCGAGCAAATGAAAGGAGGATGAACTGAGTAAACGGTCACAGACTCCCAATGGACGCGATTTCCCGAATTCGCTCCGCTGCATTGGGGCCAGGCTATTCAACTAAAGGATCGGGGTAGTGTCCCCAAAGACAATTCCATACCTCCGCCTGGGCAACCGGGTAGAATCCGCACCGTTGACAGTACTATGGAACGCATAAATACTACTACTACTACTACTATTACTACTACTACTACGACTACTACGACTACGACTACGTCGCTCCCTTCTGCCCCTGCGATGTTCACTGGCTAAACACCTCCATCACAAGTTAATCTACTTCCGATGGCAAACTCGCCCATGTCAAAAGAGTCCCACCAATGACTCTCCTTCGACCTCGATCTCCAATCTTGCTGGCAGCCCTTATACAGATTGGAAAATGGTTGGGCTAGCACACACTCACTAGCACACTCACTGTTTTTCGTTGCCTTACTGGAACTCGAATATAGGAATCCAGTACCGCAGTTGTGTTGATGTCCCATGCTGAGCTCGAAACCAAATATTTCCCGCATGACAGAGAAGCAGCTACAGCTGGTTAGAATGGTGTTGACAACGCGTTGAGTAACACAGATGGGGCTTCGCTGCTCGAGTGGTTCCCGAATGACAGCCGATTGTGCGCGGTTCAACTTCAATGTCCATGCAGTATCAACAAACATCTGACGCTCCAACCGAATGCAGATATGCATCCGTTAGGACAACTTTTATCTCAGAGTACACCAACTATTGAGTAAAGCCGAACAGTCCGATGTCGTCGTCCTTGCGCGGTTTGGCCGCTTGATGCCATGCAAACTTCATCTTGGTGGCTGTCATGCCCTTGATGAGAGTCGCTCTGATAACAGATAGACTTCTCATGTTATGTGAGGAGAACCGGCTCGTTCCTTGAGCACCAACTTCAGGCGCCCCCAAAACAAGCGTGGCTACAAACTGGTCACATTGTAATCAGCTTTAGATGGTGGGGAAGTGTGAGGGATTGCAGATCCATTTGGTCCACCTACCTAGATTCGGATTATGCTCTGGTCTATGCGAATATTTGCATGCGCTGTGGGGGTTCCAAGAAACCAAAGCACCGTAAGCTGGATACCAACAGGTTAGCTAACCCTTCCATTCCACTGGCTTATTAATCCATCCTTATCAGACGCGTTCGCTAGTGCTCCACCTCCAGATGTCGAAAATCACTGGACTTCCTTACAGTATACTTTGTTTTCTTTCAACCAATCATTCTGTGGAAATACTGAGTTTCCCCTGAGAGGTTAGATCTCCGCTCGCTCTTAGGAATTGACCATCGCCGAGCGATCCCAGCTGATTCAAGCAGCGGTGAAGTCCACCTCAATCTCAGCCAACAACTGAAGTAAGGCCTGCGTTACGATCGTGCTTCAGATAAGGAGACAACAGCTCTCTCTCTCTCTCTCTGAAAACTTCCGTAAGCTTTTCCAAATCATTCGGACACAGAAGACTTGACGACAGTGAAGCTATTTATGATGTCGGTGGAGCACTTGATACAAATTTGCGTACGCTCACGAACTGCTGGGCAGAGTATATCCACCCTAAATTCCGTTGGCCCCTTTCTTCCGGCTGTCTAACAAATATGCCTAATTGTGCGCGTTGGAACATCTCGCTGGAAACATCTACCAAAGCGGAGGCCTGCCTTCAGCTTCCTCACTTGAAGCGATTCAAGACTGCTGGCTCAGACGGATTTCCTCCGGAGCTGTTCAAGTACAGTTGAAGAACAATTGCCAACCAGTTAACAGCTCCGTTCTCTAAGATTTGTTGTAAAGAGAAAATTTCAATCTCTTGCGGCGAGTCGATTATCATACTGATCTTCAAAATGTGCCCGTGTTTTATGCGTCAACCCTAGAGGAATTAACTTAATGTCCGTCGCATTCAAATTGCTAACATTCATTCTACTCGGCTAACACGGATTCGAGAACTACACTCCCGTGAGGAACAGTTTGAATTCCACTCCGGTCGACCACACGATTGCGCTCCGCCAACTCCTCGAGCAGCTGCACTGTTAACCCCAGCTTATCATTATCAACTTTTGGACATCCGAGCTGCGTTCGACTGACCTGCTTTATGGCGTTGTTTGCAAAAGATTGGGGTACCCGAAAAGTATACCGCCATCCTGCGGGCTATACAACAATGTCTCCGGAAGAGTGAAAGCTAACAGTGAGCTCTCTTCACCTTTCGCCGTCACTAGCGGTGTGCGACAGGGATGCCCTATGCCCCATGCTACTAAGTATGGCATGAACTTTGTACCATCGAAATGCAAAGTCCTACTCCAGGACTGGCATCCATGTGCCCCAGTGTTCATTCTTGAAGGCGCACAGGTTGAACAAGTAGATAGCTTCATCTACCTTTAGAACTGTGTTTATGCTGATGGCAACATTGGAAGAGATTTCTCTTCGTATCGTCAAAACTCGATCAGCTTTCGTTAAACTGAGCATCTGTGGCGTCGTCCTGACGTTTCACCTTCGGTAAAGCGCAGGGTCTACGATACCTGTGTTCGTGCAGTACTGTTATAAGGAAGTGGGTCTTTGATAACCCGTGTCACTGACTTACTTCGGATTTCGGACTTTGATAACGGTTGTCTGCGGAGGATAGGTGGTATGTAGTGAAAACACCACATCGACAAGCTAATACCACATCGTCAACTGAGGTGGCCAGGTCACGTTTCACTAATGCCGTGCGACCATTTATCACGGCGCGCTCTATTCGCTCGCGCACTAGAGGAAATCCCGTGGTGGTCAACCTACCACATGCATAAATACATCAAAGCACTGACCTTGAGTCTAACTGTTGTCGGTCTCGTAAGTCCTGCGAGCAGGAAAATCAAGGATGAGGAACACGGCTTTTGGAGACTTGAGGATATGGCGCAGAATATGGGACATTGAAAAATTTGCAGCAATTTTACATTGATTATACTTACGAAACTGACAAAAAACAGAGAGTGAAAAACAAAAAACTTACCTTTGTCGGCTTGTTACTTTGTAACCTTCGCTATTATTATGCAAATTCATCCCATGGTTTTCGATAGATACATGTCGATTGTGCTGACGGTAGCGTGTA